TACAATTTTCACACTGTCGTACTATAACGGAACTCATCTATCGTATAAAATCTCCACTTTAAGTCTGATATTTGATGTTAAGCATCTCCGACTATGTAAATCGTTAAATTCACGCATGAAGTAATAATACATGATTAGTTAAAGTACATTTTTTTCGATTTTTTATTGATTCTTCTAAGAACTTCCTGAATGCTCCTTCCATAAATCCATTTTAAATTTATTCGAATCCTCCTTAGAATTTCCATGCAATTAACCTCAAAAATTTCATAAATTTCTGCTTAGAATAATCTTGGACCTCTCCCCTGCAATTCAATTCGTATTCTCCTTAGAATTCCCATAGTATTTCCTCAGAATTCTCAAAACAAAAATCCATCACAGAATAACTTTGAAACTCTTCTCATAATTCCTTTGAGATTGAACCCTCAAAATTCGATTATATTGGAATACTTCTCGGAATTTATTTCGAATTCTTTAGAATTCTCTTGGAAGTATCTTCAGAAATCACCCCAGAATTCTTTTAGAACTATCCGCAGAGACCATGTTTGGAGTTCACAGGATTTTCATGGAATTTTCATCAGAGCTCCCTTAAGCAAAATTTCAGAACTAGTTTGAATTCTTATTAGAAGTGGACCTAGAATCCTCATCCAATCATCATAGAAATCTTCTCAGAATTCTCGTTAAAATGCACTCTCAATTATATTGGAATTATTACCAAAATTGTTTCGGAGCTGAATTTTGCGTCTCTCATAATTTAAACAATAGTCAAAAGCGACGCTCGTATGTGTTAAGCCAAGTTTAACTATATAGGTTAACCTGGCTTAAGATTTAAGCGGAGATGAAAAAATCGGTCTTCAGAGCACTTAAATTTACATGAGACTTTCGTAGTCTGTATTCTTCTCTGATACAATTCTTCCTTTACAATTATCTTTAAATTTACTTTGGATTTATTAAAGTACGTAATCATCCTTGAAAGACAATTGAAAATCTATCACAAACGAATACCTTTGGAAAGTTTACAAGATTTACAATTTATTTTTTGGAGAATGAGGTATACTTTCCCCGATTTTTAATCTAAATTGAAGGCATTTCCCTATAGTTCTCCTGGTCTTCTAAAGTTTTGCAGTTCACTGGTCACCCTGGATAAAATTTTCAATTTTTTAACAAATACATATGTATATTTTGTTAAAACTACTGTAGACTTTCTTGGTGCCAAGTACTAAATTTAAGCATTTTGTTGATATTTTTAAATTTCACTCTATTTCAGTAGTGAAAAAGTGACTGTAGTGACTATTTTTAGGGAAATAGTGACTTTAGTGACTTTTTGGTGTAAAAAGTGACTTTTTAGTGACTGGCTTCAAAATAGTGACCAAGTCACTAAAAAGTGACCTGCTACCAGCCCTGTTAAACCCTTGTGTGAAAAGTGTTTTCAGCAGAAACGCCAAAACATATGTATTAAATGCACAGTTGCGCCTAAATGTAGGCAATTTCATTCAAAATCACTGGTAATTTTGCGAAAAATCCTGGATTTCTTGATATTTGAAACATTCTACCGCAATTTTTTAAATAATTTCGATTCATTCTCACTTGGTTTAGTAAAACATGATACTCGTATGGTATTATGACATTAATCGTTGCAGTCCTATGATCGTTTGTTTGGATGTTGATATTGTATGCTACTTAACGTCAGCTCTATAAAATTGAAATTTATGCAATAACTTTTTTTTTTTGTTAGGAAAAACACATCAAGGCAATCATTGGAGTCTCATGATGATATACTCCATGACGTGACAATTAAAAATGCAACGCATTGTGATCAATTTCACCTCGGTGATCAATTTTCCCCCGGATTACGGTACTTCCTGAACAACCTACAGTCTTGCATTGCACATGCAGTCTACACTGCACATTCCATTTTTAAACAGTTGGAGATCCTCAGAACTTGATCTACCTGAAGTGTTGGAAATATCCAGAGAACTTTACTAATACCTTTGTCTATATGTAGAGCTTTTGAATATTTCCTGCTGTCTAGGAAGGACGTCTGAAATAATATCCTTAACTTATGCAACGTTTCCTGAACATCTACAAAAATCCCTTAAGTTTTACTAAATTTCCTCAACTTCTACGAAGTTCCCTGAATTTATTCCAAATTCCATATTTGTCAATCTCTCTTACTTCTATGAAGATCTCTGAACATCTTTCTGGAAAGGCACCTATCATCTACAAATATTCTTGAACATCTGGAAAGTTCCTTGAAATTTAACGAAGTTCTCAAAACTCACAAGAAGTTCAAGGAGCTTTTTCGAATTAAGATCTCTGATAAACTGCAACGAAGTTCCCTATACTGAAGTGAGGATCCCTGAAGTTCCTAGAAGTTTATTTCTAAATTCTTCAAATTTATGAAGTTTTATGCGGCTCCTCAAAATCCTACGAAGATCGCAAAACTTCTACAAAGTTTTCTGCACTTCTACGTTTCTCGATGATTTTCCGCGAAGTTCAACGAACGAAATTTCTTGCATTTGTACGTAATTTCTACAACTATTCCAAGACCATGAGGCTTCAAAAAAGTGCCCTGAAAATATATAGAGGTTCCCGATCAATACTGAGCTTTTCCTGAAATAAAATAATGTTCCCATAACTTCTACGAAGGTTCTCAAGCTCAAATAAATTTTCCACTTGTAGGCAGCTTTTAGAACTTTTCCAAGTTCCTTGTTTCTACGATTTTTTTCTGTAGATCTATGAAGTTTCCAAAATTTTATAATAAAGTTCCTCAATTTCTACGATGTTCCCTGAACTTCTTAGAAGTCCTTGTAGTTTTAGGAAGTTTCCAGAAGTTATAGAAAAATCCCTGGGCTCATTACCAATTTTTAGAGACTGTAGACGTTTTACTATGCCATTGATTAAATATCGATATAATATAATTTATCAACATTGCTTCTTATAGTCCAGAACGTAAGAAAAGTAGTCAACATAAAGGATTTAAAAAAAAGATTAGTTACATCGTACTTGACAAGCTTGACAAAATACCGGTTAATAAAAAAACACCAAAAGTTCTGGGGGGTGGGCCTAGATAATTCAGGAGGGGGCCTAGCCCCCAGTAGCTACGCCAATTTCAGATACACCGACAGATCACGTTTATTTCCAGATTTTTAATATGTTCCAGATTTTCCAAGTTGTTTTAAATATGTTGCTTTAAAAATATCACTGAAATTAATGTACCTTCCCATAAAAAATAAAATAAATATCCAAAACTTCTACTTAAATTATTAAACGCCATCAACGTCCATTGCACACTATTGCAACATCGTATATGGAATTGTACGGGCTTTCTTAGCTCAGTCGGTAAAGACACAGCTACAAAGCAAGACCATGCTCGAGGTGGCTAGGTTCGATCCCGTGTCCGGTTTAGGAATTTTTCTGATTGGAGAATTACGCGATTTCCCTGAACATAGAGTATGATTGTACTTGCCAAACAATTATACTAAAGGGCGAACACGAAATTATTGTGACACATTCAACAGGGCATAACTTTTTTACCATTGGGTAAAAATCAACCAAATTTTGCACACTTTCTCGTCGTGTTTTTCGATTCAACGAAAATGGAGGTGAACCAACGCGAGTTGAGAGAACAAATTCTTTCCAAACACCTGGAATTTCCTGACCTGTCGCACCGGCAGTTGGGAAAAATGTTGAACATTCACCATTCAACCGTCTCCAGAGTGTTGAAGCGGTTCCAGGAGCGGTTGACGTTGGACCACGGCAAAGGAGCTGGAAGAAAACCGGGACCGGAGAACAAAAAGACGGAGGGAAAGGTGAAGCGGATGATTAAAGCAAATCCCAACGTCTCAAGCCGTGATTTGGCTAAAAAGATCGGCATGTCGCAGAGCTACGTCCAGAATGCAAAGAAGAGAGCTGGACTACATACATACAAGGTACAAAACTTCCCAAACCGCGATGAGCGGCAACAATCGACGGCTAAAACTCGGGCACGGAAGCTCTACGAGAAGTTGTTGACAAAATATGGCTGCTGTGTGATGGACGACGAAACGTATATAAAAGCCGATTTTAAGCAAATTCCGGGGTTGGAGTTTTTCACCGGCAAGAGCAAGTTCGATGTGGACGACAAATTTAAGAAGATGAAAATGTCGAAGTTCGCCTCCAAATATCTCATTTGGCAGGCCATCTGCTCTTGCGGACTGAGGAGTGAGCCTTTCGTGACAAAGGGCACAGTAAATGGCGAGATCTACAAATCTGAGTGCCTCGAGAAGCGCCTTTTGCCGTTCATGTAGCAGCACGACGAAGCTCCGCTATTTTGGCCTGATTTGGCATAATGCCAGTATTCTGAAAGTGTCCTGGAGTGGTATGAGGCCAATTCTGTCCATTTTGTTCCAAAGGACATGAATCCGCCAAACTGTCCGGAGCTGCGCCCGGTGGAGCAGTACTGGGCAATAATGAAGCGGGAACTTCGGAAGAGCAAGAAGACAGTCAAAGACGAGAAGGACATGTTAAGAAAATGGAAAAAAAAAACTGAGAAACTGGTACCGGATGACACTGTAAAGACTTTGATGGAGGGCATCAAGCGAAAATGCGTTCAATTTTACACTCAAGGCTCCATCGATTAACTTTTCTTTTGATTTTTGAAGTAAATATATGTATAAAACTACCCTAAAATTTTGGTTTGATTCTAAACATTATAAGAAAATTGGCATGACATTTTCGGTGTCGCAATAATTTCGTGTTCGCCCTTTAATGCAAAAATGGTACAGGCATCGAAAGCTCCCAATTAATAACTGTGGAAGTGTATCTAGAACACTAAGTTGAGAGCAATAAGCTAATAAGCTTGAAATGTGAAGAAGAAGAAGAAGAAGAAGAAGCAGAAGAAGAAGAAGAAGAAGGCGAAGTATGATGCGTATTCTAATTTCTGCAAATGCTTTCAAGCTGTATGAATAATTTTGGCTGATCTTGTTGATTAATTATAAGTTAAAACAAAAATGTTCACTTACTGTTGAACGAAGCCGTTAACGCTGACACTGAATGTCCAATAAATATAACGCAAATGCACATAAAGCCGATATTCAACGCCATCCTGCTCCGCGGAACTGTATTCTAACTGTTCGAAACAACTACCCGCAACTATCTGACGAGCAATCCTCAGTATGTTTCTCACAGCAATTATCTATTTAGCAAAAAAAAATAGCAACATAATAGGTCAATCATAGGTAAGGTAGCTTCGTCTATGGTGGCCCCTCCCACCGTCTGCATCTGAGACGAGTCAGTGTTAACCGTGAGTATGGATGCACCTAGCAATTAACTTGGCTCAAATTGTCCACCCACTCGCCATGAGATGACAATGATTTTTTGTTTTGTTTTGTATTTGCTGGATCGGAAGCGGAAAAGCGGTTTTGCACCTTGTTGTCTGTTACAATTTACGACTGAAACGATTAGCGACGTCGTCCCGAACCCTGCTGCGAACCGTAGAGATCAATTATTCAAAAGTAGAATCGATCCATCGAGGATTGGCGCGAAAATGTAAACCCCAACACAATTGGCAAAATAGGGCAAGGTTGTGAGAGGAAATAGCCTTCAGCAGAGGATTAAATTTACCGTATGCGTTATAATGTTTGCACCACCGTACAAATAAGGATCCCGTATCACCTGTGCATACAATGCCTTGGTTTTCTTTGCATGCACGTAACCTATAGCTCATACCGTAGTAGCTATGGTAGTAAGCTGTGTATAAAAGAAAATGATTAGTTTGACAGTTGCACCATGACGAAGTGGCAGCGTATTCGTGATTTGTCCCACGCGCAAATGTCGCAAAAAGACATTTCAATCGCCGTGGGAGTGCCCCGGTGGACCATCAAAAGGGTTTTAGACCGAGAAAAGAAAGGCCAACTATTCGCGAAGGTGGCCACAGGTCGTCCAAGGTCAGCTCGGGTTTCGAGGGTTATCGCTGCTATCAAAAGGAAGATTCGGGTGAATCCAGTGCGTTCAATAAGGAAAATGGCAGAGGAACACGGGATCAGTGACTTTACGGCACGGAAGATTGTAAATGAAGATTGCGGGGTGTAGTCGAGGGCACGGAAAAAAAACTCACATGATTACCAACCGGGAGCTACGAGTCGAACGATGCAAGAAAATCTTGAACTTCCTTAGGCGAAAAAATCCGGCAATCCTGTTCACCGACGAGAGCATGTTTACCGTCGATCCCGAATCAAATTCCAGAACCGACCGGTATATTAGTTCTCTTCCGGTAAAAGACGTGGCCGACGAGCACAAGAACGTGTATCTGACCAAGCATCCTGCTAGCGTTATGGTGTTTGGATTGGTGGCTTCCGATGGCAAAAAAATGGACCATAAGGCGACAAGGTCAACACGGAGGACTACATCGGGATTTTAAGGAAGTATGTTCTTCCGTGGATCAAAGAACAGTACGGTCCGAAGCCAAATATTGTATTTCAACAAGATGGAGCTCCGTGCCACACCTCGAACCGCACTCAGAAGTGGTTGCAGGAACATCTTCCGTTCTGGGCGAAGAATATGTGGCCACCATCCAGCTCAATATGGTGCGTCATGAAGACCAAGGCCTGTTCTAAACGCCACCCGAGTACAGCAAGCGTCAGACAAACATTGACCCGTACCTGGAGAGCAGGGTTGCTTCCACTCACTTGCTATAACACTATGTTTTTCGGAATTATGAAATCATTAGATGATATAATGGTATGTTGTACTTGTAAGTAACAATTATTATTATTATTTATCTTTATTAGGGAGGCTTTCAGCCTTGGGCTGGTTCGCCTCCACTGTAAGTAACAAGAAGAGCGTGTAAAGTATGTGTTTGACTCATAAAACATGTCAATTTCGCTTTAAGAGTGTCACAATCAGCGATTTTATGATTCGCGAGCGTTCACTCAGAGTGAGCGCTCACGAATCGTTAACTCACTTATTGTGACGTACTGAAAGCAATATTGACAGGTTTTATGTGTCAAACACATACTTCACGACCTCTTCTTGTAACTTACAAGTACTAATTAACATTATAAAATCTAATGTTTTCGTAATTCGGAAAAAAAAACATTATTTTATAGCAAGTGAGTGGAAGTAATCCTACTGGAGAGAAACAGACTACATTATTAGAACCTGCCGTGCATTCCTGAAGCGTGTGGAGGCCGTAATTGCAGCAAGTGGAAACTCGATCAATGATTAACATAGTTTAAGACTCTGAGGGGGGATTTAAATAGATAAAAAAAAAAAACTCGAAAACGAAATTTTTGAGATTTTTTTTTTTAATTTTGGCATTGCTCAATGGTGCAAAGATTATCACGCATACGGTATCTTTATTACACGTAGGCAAAAGAACATAAGAATTCCATAAGAAACACTTATGAATTTCAGCCACAAGAAATCAGTGTGAATTTCATTTATTTGCCTTATGAAAAATAATGTTGACAAAAAAAAATAATAAATCGGAGCAGACTGACACCGAACCATGGACGTTGAGATTACGGAGTTCGTATGTTGACCACTCGTCTTTCAACGCTTAAGAAAATAGAATGGCTAAAGGCGTATAAGAGCCACGTTATGTTAGATGAAAATCTTTCATAAGTCACGCTAATGAAATTCATATTTGTCGTTCATAAGTCGAGTCTTATGAAATTCTTAAATCTTTTTGCCTCAGTGTATGACACAAAACGACAAGTGATAAACAACAAATATTTACGTTACTCAGCAACCTTCAATCGTATGGACTGGTGGAAAATCGACTTGAGAATGTGTGGCAAAATTAACTATTAATTAAAAATATCAATCATGGTGCAATTTGTCCCATAAATAATGTAAATATTTCTAAAAAGAACAGCAGCAAGGTTTTTTTTTTTTTCTTGATCTGTTTTCCGTCGATCTTGTTTTCCGTGCTGAGCACCAATGCTACCGACGACAGGGAGGCAGTTTCCACTACCTTGAGGTATACCGGACTTTGCGCAGAAGCTTGCTGAGCGACAAGTACCCAAAGTTACTGTCAGTTGGCGCTCCGTGAGGTATGAACGAAACCATTTCAAAAGATTTCCACCAATCTCTAGCCTATCAAGCTTAGCGATCGCAATTTCGTGGTTCAGCTTATCGAAGGCTGCCATAAGATCTGTGTAGATAACGTCCGTTTGGGTCCGAGCAATCAAACTGTCTGTGATGTATATGTAAGACGTTAGGCACAGCAGGTTCGCAGTTGTGGAACGCCCAGTTATGAATCCGTGTTGATCTATGCTTAGATATTGCTTGCAATACATGATTCTGGAATTTGTGCGGTTTTGACGATGGATAGTTCTCCCAGCAGCTGGAACTGGACATGATTGAAAGTATGGTAAGATGGGGCAAGATAGGCAATTAGTATATTAATGTCATTTCTAGCTTTGCTTGCATTCCTATTCATAAGGGACTGATGTACGATGATGAGTAGAATATCAACAGACTCAATGTAACCCAGAGATGGTTTGCTTTTTCAAAACTGCTTTGGGAGGGCTACATTGAGTCGTTGATGTTTACCACCAGAAAAATGAATAAATCAAGTAGATGACCCATCTTACCCTACATTTATTTATTTATTTATTTGGAGGGAAAAGCCCACACTAGTGGGCATAAAACCTCATCATTTCAGTACCAACAGATAACATGGAATCCTACAGATACATTTGCTTGAACAAAGTCCTAAACATATAAAAAGATATTAATTATAACATAATTAACTAAATTTAAGTACAGAAAACAGAAACCGTCAGGAAGTTAAAAGTACATCATAAAACAGATTGTTAAGCCTAACACGGGAGATATTAAAATCAAAGCAGTTATAACATTTGTTGAAAATCTTGCATATGCTAGTTAACGGCTCAATAGCGCCGTAGTTTGTGCAAGAAGCCGGGATGTTGAAAAAAAATAATAAGAACCTAAATTTACGCGTCTGATATTGACATTCAACTGCTGCAGAAGTGAACCGCAATTGATGTCCGATCGCAGGAGAACAGCGATAAAGGTAGCCTTAGAGACGCCTCGGCGAACACTAAGTAATTGTAGGGACATTAAATTCATAACTAGGGAGATTGAAAGGATCACTCCAGGGTAGCCAACGAAGGGCGAAACGTACAAATCTTCGCTGAATGGCCTCAATATGATTCACCCCGTTGCTGTAAAAAGGAGCCCATACTACGGAACAGTACTCTAATGTGGAGCGGACTAGCGAGCAATAGAGTGTTTTTAAATAGAAAATGTCCCTAAAGTCTTTGGCGGAACGAAAAAAGAAACAAAGTTGAGAAGATGCCTTAGCGGAAACATAAGCCACATGGTCCTTGAAGGTGAGTTGTGAATCAAGTAGAACGCCTAAGTCTTTAATGGTATATTCACGGCTTAATATTTGCTCCTGTAGGCTGTAAGCATAACAGATAGGTGATTTTTTTCCTGGAAAACGTTATAATGGTACATTTATAAGCATTTAATACCATTCAGTTCTTGTCACACCAAACACCAAAAACGTCCAGCTGCTGCTGAAGAAACAATGCATCACTTCGATCTTTGATGACAAAGTATAGTTTGAAATCGTCAGCATAAGACGATCGAAAAGTAAACGTCATTAAGATACAATAAAAATATGAACGGTCCCAGATGACTGCCTTGATGTACACCAGAAGAAACAGCGAACGGTCGAGAAAAATGATCTCCAATCTTCACTGACATCGGTGAGGCATGAGCGAAGCCAATCAAGAAGGGACCCGTGAAAACCAAGTCGCTCTAGTTTGGCCACTGCAATCTCGTGATTGATATTATCAAAAGCAGCAGTAAGATCGGTGTAGATAGCATCCACTTGATGACCTCTTTCCATCTCGCGAAAATGAACTGACTTCCAAACCGAATTTCACCGCTGCACTGTTTTTTACCAGCAAGGAACTTTCTTTCACATGACAAAACTTGCTCATAACTCTTCATTATGCAAATAATTAATTTACTATTTTTTTTCTAATGTGTTGCCTAACAGAGAGACAGAGAGCATACAAAACAATCAGATATCCGCTCGAGTATAATGCACATTGGATGATAATCAAACCTAACTCATACGCACAAGTTCAACTAAATGCCGCTAGTCATTTTCGCCTATAAATCCGATCGCTTTGGAAAACAATATACTTATCGCATTTCCTCTTTTTTTTTCTTAATTTCAAATCGCACAAACACAAAAACGCAACCTAATCCTGTCGTTATGCTACGCTACACACAGTTCAAAATTCAAATAATTGCTCTACCTATTATTAGATAATAACTCACCGCCTTTCGTTTCCGAATAAATCTGGAAACGAGATCCTAAAAACAAAACACAAACATTTCATAAAAAGTTGCGCACATTCGCAAAGCACAACGCGGAAAAACTTAAAAACAAGAGCTACTAGTAAGTACTGCCATGTAGCATTCCTCATGATAATACCCTGCTGCTCGGTTTAACGCTAAATCGTGAATAGTGGATAATCAATGTATCACCGTCTACTGCTAATGATCTCAGGCAATGCAGGTGTTTGTGTGTGTATGTGTGTTTGCTTGTATGTGTGTGTGTGTGTGTGTGTGTGTAGTTTTAAAATATAATTTCCTTTCTTAAAAATATATGTCGTACTTCAACTATTTTCAAGAACTACAATGTATCAGTTTTGTCTATCTTTGTTTGTTTGTTTGTTTTTTTATCTCAGTATACAACCATCAGTATGTGTGTTTGTCTCACTTTCTCTAGTTCACATTTTTGCTTGCACTGTGACCCTCATACCTGTACGAATGGTAATCTCGCTTTTGTTTGAAACCTTAATTAAGTGGTTTGTTCTGGTTCTGCAATACTATCCTACACGGTTGTACAAATATTTACAATCCTTACGAAAACCTAGCAACAACATCATTCTTCGAGCGCATCAAGTACCTTTCGCTGTCCTTAGTAGAACGGGCTCATGAAATATCATACACACTCGTCCTGATTCTGGGCACAGTACTTGGGGAAGATCGGTTCCGCTCGGAGGCCCAGCTCCAGCAGATGATTCCGGAAGACGGACATGCGATTAAAGGTGTCCTTGGGAACGGACTCGCTGTAGATTTCCTCCACCGGGTCGGTCCACAACCGTTCGGCCAGGGCCGATGCCCGGGGCCAGAGACGGGAGTCCAGAGTTGATTCGTCCACCTGTTCCGTCCAGAGGCACGCTTCGCCACCGAGAATCTGACGCATCTGCAACGAGGTGAGCTTCATCTCGTCCCAGGGGCGGTGTTTGTAGACGGTCTGCCAGTTGCGGTACGGGGAGCAAGCACCTTCAGCTACAATGGGAAAAAATGTGATTGAGACTGCTGTGCTGTGGTTCAAACTCGCCATCACTTACCGGTAGACCGCCAACTGCCGAACCCGCAATCCAGATACCATGCGTCCACATGCGAAATCACCAGATTGAACCCAGCGCTGATGAGTTGATAGTTCTCCTGCCACTTGCTGCCGCCCCACACCTGCACAGCAAAGGAATTCTTGGAAAGGCACGGATAGTTGGTCAATCCGCTGGACCACACGGCAGCCATTTTGGGTGCCACGCCCTTGTTGGCAATCTGGAGTCGATGATATGCTTGCTGCATGAAATCACACCATAGCGTACGCATATCCGATTCGTTAAAGTGCTGCTGCCAACATTCCAGATTGACTTCGTCACCCCCCAGATGGAAGTAGTCCAGCGGACCCGTCAGTTCGAGCAGTTCCTCGTACAGCTTTTGCAGGATCAGGTAGGTGTTGTTGTTCTTCGGATTCAACTGGCCACAGGGAGGCTCCCCGCAGTAGTAGCTCCAAGGCTGCTGGTTGATACACAGACTCAAATCTCCGAGATTATGCTTCGGACCCCAGTCCCAACCATTCCCGGCGTGTGCCGGTGCGTCAATCTCCGGGATCACCTGAATACCTCGCACTTTCGCAAACTGTACAATTTCCCGAACGTCGTCCGTCGTGTAGATTTCGCGGTCCGAATAGGCTCCGTATTGTGCCAACTGCGGGTAGTGCTTGGACACCAGCGGGAAACTCTGCGAATCCGTTATGTGCCAATGGAACCGATTCAGCTTGGAATGAGACATCCCCACCAGGGTTCGTTTTATCGATTCTACCGAGAAATAGTGTCTCGATGTGTCTAGCATAAGGCCACGGAAACTGGCAGAAAAGAAGCAACAGATGAAAGCATTTTTATTTGTATCACTTTCACTCATAAAACTACTTACTTAAATCTTGGCACATCTTCAATTAAGGCTTTGTTGAGAACTTTAAGTATGCGGTCCTCGTCGTCGAACCAAATCAACTGTTGCAGCGTGGTAAGGGCATGCTTGGCCCCAAAGAAACTGTTGGTGAAAACTTTCACTACCAGGGAACGTGCCATGTCTATGAATTAAAATAAATCAATTGAGTAATGGGTCTTAAATCCCGATTGTACATTCTACTTACGTCCCACCGACATGTTGTAGCTCTCGTCAGTGTGCATCGTCAGATGAACGTCCGGTGATTGAAGTACATGTATCCGCACATCAAATCGATCCACATCGTACCGATTATCATCCACCACTTTGTAGAAGCGAATCTTCGCTGCTGAACCTTCCGACTTTCCAACATCTTGTTGATGGTCCTTCCCCCGAGCGCCATCCCCACTTTCGGTCACGGTAGAACTTTCTCCCTCATCCGAACCGGCCCCATGTGCCACCAGAACCCCTCGCAGTTCTTCCTTAAACACTCGGAAAGAGTCCCGTAGCAGGTCCTCTACGGGTTTGAACCCGGTCTTCACGCTCAAATGAACATCCGACAAGTGGAACCGGGAAGCCTTACTTCCAATCGAAGCCTTCCCCGTCGGTTGCGGCCAAATGTTGATTGGCCCACAGGTCATCGTGCAAGTCAGAAACGGAACCCGCTTTCCAACCGTGCTGCCACCGAATGTACTCTCCGGATCGTTCGAGTCGATGTAGTGCTGCCGAACGCACCGATTGTTAACGCATTTGTACGTCCAGGACTTCTCCGGTGAACTGCAAAGTAAAGCACAAAGCTATCACTAAGCCATCGTCAAAAATAACCTCCCAGCCGGGTGGAAAACTTACTTCACCTTCGGTGGGGGCAATCTACCGAGTCCTCCAGCCCCGTCACCTCCGCCAACGCCATCCCGATGGAAGATCCCAGCGAAAAGCATCGCAGATCCCGCCGGTTTCAGAGAGCTCTGGTTCTCGTTCCAGAACAGGAACATCACTAGGAATACCATCACCAGCAGTAAACCGAACAGAGTTTTCCTCAGGGATCCGGTGAAGGCCATCTTCTTGATGAAGTTGGTCAATATGGTCGTCCGGAGGTTGCGCTGCTGGGAGTTTCGCTGCAGAAGGAAAAGATCGAAATCAATGTGATCACAATGTGTGTTCTGTGAAAAATCATTATTATTCTATCTTTTGGGGACAATTATGCTTCTACCGGAAGCTATTAGATTCTGTACAGCAAAGAAATTTTGGGGTTATTCTTCAATAAATCCAGAAGGGAAGCTGCGTTCTATCAAATTAAAGGAAGATTCATGGTGACCGGCAAATCCCGATTTGCAATTTCCCGATTTTTTCCCATATTGTGGGTAATTTTTACGATTGTATTGAGTCAGGAAATATTCTGCTGTCTTAGTTATAACCCATTTAACCGAGTGATTTTTTTCGGCCAATCGCATTCGATTATGCGTTTAATTTAAATGTGTACTGGGAAATTATCAAAATTTCAGGAAAAAAAACTGTTTGCTTCTGCGTTTGAAGTCATCAACATTTGTCTGTTTTAACTACCTTTGAAAAAGTTCGCTCAGAACGCTTTACAGTTCAATTATTGACCGCTTTGCGGCACCCCAAAATCATGTCCGATGTAGCTCTATGGACTCGAATGGACGGGACAATGTAGTTTTGACATTTTTGACCAAAGTAGGAAACTTTTCTTGTTCATTGTGAAGTTATTGTACTAGACAATCAATTCCAATGTATAACTCATTTACGCCAAAAATGCTAATGGGACGGTTATGCCACACAGGGCAGAACATGGAAGGTAGCGAAACGAAATATAACACTGCGAAACGGAATGCAGAATCAAACCAAAACAGCAATTAAGGTTATCAGAAACATGCATTTCTGATGCTGATAGGGTTACTAGAAGTGCAAAACAAATAGGAAAACCCGGTAATATGCATAAAGTGCAGTTCAGATTAGCGGCGTTTGACTTGTTGCGATACAAAAAAAAAGTATTCTTCTCATGCGAAGTACCATGGAATAATTAGCTTTATTAGAAGCCAAGAACACTTGACAGGAAGATTAATGATGACAGGTAGCCGTATTTAGAATAAAAAATAGATATCGATGCGACCCTCATATCTCACTTGCTAACCTGGGGTTCAACCCACGATCTTCTGTTTGGTGAGCAAAAAACGGTCACCACTAGGTCACCGAGTCCTTCATTTAATAAAACAATCAAAACAAGTCCCATATTTTTTTAATAATCTAGGGGAAATGGATTTAATGTCGGCATAAATGCCCCTAATTTAGGCCCATACAAAAAAATCAGCGATCGACTAAATTTTCAAAAGCGACCAAAAATATCCAATAGTAGCGTCCCAATGACGCGTTCATCTAGATAAAATTGAAAAATAGCAGATTTTTAACGATGAACCCAATCTTAGATCCATATACAAAATATGATTTAAGAATATTCCCAAGATTCTGGGGCTTTGAGATTTGTGTAGAGCCTGAAACTAGAACTTTTCTTCAAAATTTGTGATTAATAACAATCTTCGTAATGAAATTGATCTTTCTGATTTGGAGAAAAAAAAAATAAAATTAGAGATTTTGAAATTTTTTCAAGAACACAGATTTGAAAAAAAAACACATATGTACTTGTAGGTCGTTGAGTCGTAATTGTCAAGGCTCTGAAATTTGCAAGCATTTGATGGATTATAACAGAACAATCTATAGAAAGTTGCGGACATTTGCAATTTTGTGTAAAATTTAAAAGTATTCAAAGTGTTGATTTCAAACAAATATTAGGGAGAATTCTCACATAATTTTCGACGGAGAAGTTCTGAGCAGAATTCCAGAATTATTCTAACATGAAGTCCTTAAAAATTGTAAAATAAATTTGGAGGGATTTCTGTAGAGAAGAATGCATGTTTTTTTTTCATTATGATAGTCACTTTAACACTGTTGGGTCATTCGTGACTAGTTCGGAGTGAGATTTGAACTCGTAACTTTGGAGTAAGAGGTACGGATGCTAACCACTACGCCGGAGTCGTCCCCAAGAATGCAAGTTCTAAATTAAATTCTTTGGTTATTTTAGAAGCTTTCAAAATGAGTTGTCTTAATCTAGTGCGAAAGATTAATCACAGACCTCCAACAAAAATTGATTGCAAAAAAAAGATGATAATTAGAAAGAAATTCTTTAAAATACTTCAAGGGGTTTCACCATAAAATTTAAAAAGATTTCTGCTGCTTTGAATAGTGTTAGAAGAAAATTTTGAAAAGCATTTCAAAGGAATCAGAATCTCCGAATAGGTTCAAGGATTCCAATCAAATTCTTAGAAGGGGTTTCAAGGAAATTCCAAAACGGTTCAACGGTTATTATTACACGGAATGTTTTTTGGTTAATTTCAGAAGAATTCCATGATAATTCCGAGCAGAATTCTAAGCTAATACTGGAATTCATATCATGAGAATTTTGAATATCGTAAAATTATACCCCGGAAAAGAATACATCAGTTTCGGATTTTAAAAAAATGTGTTTTCATAGCCCAGCATCTTCAAAATTTTCTTTTAAGGTCCATGCACTTTACTTCTTAAATTTAAGCGACAAAATCATTTAAATTATACAACCAATAAGACGGGAAACTGAAGAAAATTATGCAACAAATAGAGAAAGACATTCATTTGCTAAATAATCACTCCGTTTTAATGGTTTATTCTTAAATTCTGGAGTAAACATTTGTTCCTATGGTATGGTTAATTATTTTTCCGCGGTTCTCTCGTCAATTTCCCAGGTTTTTTTTTCCCGGTTTTCCGGTTACTTTTCAAATTCAATGATGTTTTCCGGTATTCCCGGTTCGCTGGTCACCCTGTTTAAACTAGTGAAGTACCTGACCAATTTTAAAAATATAGATTTTGGACAAAATGGCGCGCATTTCAAAAACGAGGTCTGATTTTCAGGCAAAAATATCAAATATATTCGTATTACTCAGGTACTTCACTAGAAAAAAATATGTTGAAAAAGATTAAAAAAAAAATCAAGTCGATAAATCAATTAGAAATATGACTTTCGTTTCCGCACGACTTGAAAAACATGGTTTCGAGAAAAACGCGGTTAAAGATAAATTTTACGCAGGTAGTCCCCTAGTCTCCGCCCCAAAATAATTCGAAAGAAAGTGTTCCCGGGTATAAAACCAATTGTCCCGTATTCTTTAGACTCAAAACTATCATTTAAGACCAAAAATCAAATCAATTTTTCGAACCCACTACAGTTGGAACTGTCATAACATCTCTTTAAAGGTAATTCCCTGTAGCCTCCTTTTTCGTGTTACATTTCGCAATTTCACATCTAAAAATAATAAGGTTTCTGTGAATACACGTAGCTTAAACTACTACTTGCATTTTGCTGCGGAGAAGCAAGCAATGTCAGAAATTTTCATATCTACAAACCTCGTAGATCTGTAGTTGTGTGCTCTTGAAATTGCGAGGTGTGATGGAAAAATTGACTCTACAAGGAAACACCTCAAAGGTCTTCCAGAACTTATTTTGAATATTAATTAGAAATGAACCTGGAATCCTCCTCCTTAATAAGAAATGAACCTGGAACCTGGAATCCTGGAATTAATTAGAAATGAACCTGGAATTAATTAGAAATAAACCTGGATTTTTCAGAGGAACTACCTAAATTTTGTACTCTGAACTCACACAAATGATTCGGAGTTCTAGTCAAATATTCTTTGGAGTTCTTCGAAAAAATCTCTCGGTATTTTTCTCTGTAATGCCTTGAATCTATTCTAAAATCTCTTCAAAATTCCCTTAATAGTTAGTTCATCAAAGTGACTGTAAATCTTGTTCAGTCCAAGGGTCTTGAAATTGATTAATGGTCCAGAATCTTATTTTTTCCCGATTTGTCATCGAAATTTACGGGCTTTTTCCGTTTTTGTTTTTCGATGATTTCGAATTCCCGGTTCACTGGTCACTCTAAAAAATCTTTGGCTGCCGTTCGGCACTACTTCCCAAGTAACAATTGTGGTTTTATGAGGATTCTGTAGACTATGATTTAGACTTTGTAACGGTTCACGCGTTACGAGGCCAGAATCAGACAACTTTCTCCACTTATGCGCCAAGCAAGCGGTTTTAATCTGTTTTTTTTTTTTTTTTTTTTTAGTCAAGGCGAGTCTTTCTGTTTCTCAAATAATCCCGACAACTCGCTTCGCAATCTACCGTCCCATTCGCAACCACAAAAGAAACCAACGATGGGAAAGATGTATCGACCGAAAATTAAACAACACGTTGATCAACCTCCGACTTTCTTTCGGTCTGTCGCTTGTGCTATTGAAATCTATTCGATATTACTTGCTTGAACCTCCTGGATTTCATTTTTTTCTTTTTTTATTGCTAGTGTTTCTCACCTTCTAGGCCTAATGTGTTTTCTAGTTTAGCTTGTGCGGTCCCGTTTCTAAACTGCGAACGTTTATTAAAAACTAAATAAAATCTCTGACCTGGTTGATCCTGCGACGGATCGGCGAGTCCTTACTCGGATGTCCTTCCTCGATGGTACTGTTGCATACAGCCAACGGCTGGTCAGTGAGCGAGTCTAGCCACCGACGATGAGTGAGTCGATCGTTTTCAGCGGTGTACTAGCTGGGACACTAATGCGAACTGGCAGTGCCACCTACCGGAATCTCGGCCGTGGTGTTGCAATCCTCACTGATTCGTACCGCTGTATCGGCGTTCTATCAAGGCGGTACCAAGTTGAACTATTGGAGAGTGTGTGTCCGTGGAAGCGGCGGCGAATTCGACCAAGCCACAGTTGGTGGACTGAACCGACACTCGAACGTGGCGGGCAAAAATAGCCGAGCAATCGATGGTGCGTATCCTTGTTGGCGTCAATCGAAATTCGCACCCGGTGTCCTGATGATATACGCGGTCGACTTTTGCACCGAATTCCCTTCGAGCCGAAGAGAGGCTAAATTCGGCAGTTGGCTTCCGAATTCCTCTCGGGAAGGCGTGGATGACCTTCGAATGGCCCTAGAGGGGCGAATGCTGGCACGACGACGAGGACAGGCCTACAAGCCGCCGAACTTCTGATTCGTCCCTAGTGTAGCGTGACAGGTCG